GCAATGTCCCTTTTACAATAGTCACAAGATTGCTCTCTCAGATTGCCCTGTCGGCACAGCGATTGATGCACACAACAGGTAGCAGGTCTGCTGTCTTGAGTTGGGTGGTCACAGGATGAGCACAGCAATCAAATCCTAGCCTAGGGAGAAATGCTTACCCTTAAGGAAATGCCAGTGTGGGGGAAGTTGCATCCTTACCTTAAGGGCATTTGTTCTTGTCTTTGGGACATGTTAATTGCTTAAAGCAGATATACAATGCATGTTCAAAGGCCACAGGCCCTTTTGGAAAAACAAGCTCAAGATGAGTTAGTTTTACACCAAATGGCTTCCTCATATGCTCTAATATATCCTATTGCTTGCCATTTATTTATCAATGATAATTTTTTTAAAATTATTGATAGTCATAAAAAGGAATGAAGTACTGACATACTACAACTTGGATGGACCTTGAACACACTATGCTGAGTGAAAGAAGCCAATCACAAAAGCCCATGTATTATATGATTCCATTTATATAAAATGTCCAGTTCAGGAGAATCTATAGAGACAGAAAGTAGATTAGTGGTTGCTTAGGTCTGGGGGGGGTGGTGATGGGAGGGTGATAGCTAAAGGGGATGAGGTTCCTTTCTGAGGTGATAAAAATGTTCCAAGACTGATTGTGGTGTTGGCTGCGCATACACACGAGTAAATGAATACCCACTGAATTGTACATTTTAAATGAACAAATGGTAATGTATGTGAATTTTATCTCAATAAAGTTGTTTAAAATAAGAAAATTATTATGAACAATTTATATATACAAAATTATATATATATATGACATGAAGAAAGATAAACACCCTGTACCTATCACCTGCTTAATAAATAAAACTTTATCTCTACCTTTAAAGCTGTCTGCATGGCCCTTCTGAAATATTACCCTCTGCCTCCTCACCCAGGAAAATCATTCATCTGATGTTTTAAAAAAATACATTGTTCCTTTGACTTTCATTATAGTTTCACTCCATATGTATGTATCTGTAAACCTTGTTTACCTTTTTAAGTTTTAAACTTCTATAAATGTGCTATATATACTCTGTAACTTGCATTTTTCATTCAACATTGTATTTCTGACAGCCTTGCATGTTCCAAATAGTTTCTTATTCAATTTTATGTATTGTTTACTAATTAGCCTCTAAATTGAAGATAGCAAAAGCTATCTCAGAGAGAATTCTTGTGAGGTAATGAATATAAAGTGCTTATGGCAGTGCCTGACTCATTATATATGTTCAATATTATATATATATTGTTGTTATATATTATTGCAATTGCTATGTATTATTATTATATACTGTATTATTATATATAATGTATACATGTATTATAGCAATTGCTTATTTCTCTGTGAATGGATATTATTTCATCAGCTGCATTATTCATTAACAGTTTTCAAGCTACAGTAAAGTCTGAGTTACACAGACCTTTGGGAAATGCCTCATTCTAGATATTTGAAGTTTCTGGATAGCTAAGGTTTAAATTTTTTTTGTGTCAAATTTATTTCTAAACATATGTTTTTAAATTTAAACAAACTGAAAGAATGAACTATAAAACTTTCAGCCACTTCCAAATTCTCTCCTAAACTTGTTTATGAATGTATGTGACCGCACTTTAATCAGACTGCACAAACTGTTTTGTGTTCTGCTTTTAAAATCTTCATTCATTTGTACACCTCCACATGCTGACACAGCCACACAGCTGCCATTTTTCACGATGTGTGCTTCCCCGATTTCCACGGCAGCCAGAGGCAGAGCAGCTGAGGGGAGAGGAGGTGAAGCAGCCTGGCTCTGAGTCCTGACCAGGAGAAGCGCTGGGGTCCCGAGCCCTCCCAAGGGTGGACCATATAGTCTCCTGAGGCCATCAATTCTTTCCATGGCAGCTGCTGGTGCCAGTTTCCACCCTGCAGCCATCAGCAGACAATTGTGACCCTGTACGTCAGCACAGATCCACTCGTGGTGGCTGCCTAGAACCCTGCGCTGGAAAGGACCCTCAGGTCCAGCTCAGGCTCAGCAGGAGGGGGCCTCGGGTTTATTACCAGTATCTGCAACAGTTACAGATCCCAGCACAGCCTCCACTGCTACTCCCACCTGTCATGAGATGTGAAATGACCCTAGGGTGTTGCTAGGGTTCTGAGAACAGAACCCTGTCACTCCAGGAGTTTCTGGGTCAGAGAGCTCTCTCCTTTCACCACCACTGCACACATCTCGATGTGCTATATTAGCAAGCACGTGTGTTTATAGGTATTGCAAGTGCATTTTGTATATGAACGCTGACCCAGGCATGAATTTATTTAAAACAATGTTTTAACATTCTCAAGGGCTTGAACATCTTGTTGTTTTTTGATTATTGTGTGTGAGGAAGATCAGCCCTGAGCTAACATCTGCCAATCCTCCTCTTTTGGCTGAGGAAGACTGGCCCTGGCCTAACATCTGTGCCCATCTTCTTCTACTTTATATGGGACGCTGCCACAGCATGGCTTGACAAGTGGTGCGTCAGTGTGCGCCTGGGATCTGAACCAGCCAACCCTGGGCCGCCGCAGGGGAACGTGCGCACTTAACTTCTTGCGCCACCAAGCTGGCCCCAAGGGCTTGAACATCTTTAAATTCTTCATTTCTGTTATTTCTAATTTTATTGCATTATGGCCCATAAATGTAAAGAGTGAAATTTTTGTCCTTTTATATTTACGAAGTATAGCTTTTTGTTTTCAGATTACGGTCAAAGGTATTTCTATTTCTTTGCAAGTCTGTTGGTTCATTTTTTTTTAATTAGTTACTACATTCTTTTGGGAATATTGACACAGGTCAGTTATATTTTCATTGTTTCTTGTGCTTTAAAAAAACATTTTGGCCCTGCATTCTCTCTTAGACTTTTCCTTCCATGTCCTATGCTCTAGATTCTATGATCTAATATCTGTTTGTGAGTTAAGATTGCTTTCAGTTCTAGATACCAGAAAATCTGACACACAATAGTCTGAACAAGCAAGGTAGGAGAGGAGGCTGAAGAAGTAGGCAGGGTCCAGGTTATCTAAGCTCTTATTCTATTGCAATGAGAAGCAGTGGCAGAGTTTAAATGGGGTGGCATATATCATGTTCTTCACATTTTCAAGAGATCACTCTGGATGCTGAGCAGAGAATGGACTGTAAGAGGGCAAGACAGGAAGCAGGGAGAGGGTTAGGAGGATTTCTTTGGCAGTAGACCAGTAAGAGAAGAAGGCGGCTGAATCTGGAGGCTACAATCAGGATGCATGTTGCAGGCAAAGCCACCAGGACATGCTGTGAGATTGCATGTGGTGGAGAAGGAAAGAGTCAAAGATGACTCCTGGGTGCTCCCCTCAGACAAGAGGACCTAGGCCTGGGGGTGATCAGCAGATGGTATTCAAAGCTGGGAGACTGAATGGGATTTCTCTGAGAATAGAAAACACACAGGAAAGAGAAGGGGGTGAAGATTCCTAGAGATCTGGTGGAGAAGGAACAGGAGGAGGAAGTAGAGTGAAGGGGGAGGAAATCCAGAGGAAAGTGTTTCAAGATGGAGGAAGTGCTCAATTGTGTCATCTGTGTCAAATGCAGCTGAAAGGTTGAGTGAGATAAGAACAAAAACTTAACCTTGAATTTAGCAAAATGGAAATCACTGGTGACCTGGATAAAAGCCATTCCAGCGACGTGGTAAGGAGAAAACTGGAATGGAATCAGTTCAGGAGAAAACGTGAAGTGAAGAGGGGCAGCTTGAATGGAGCAGAGCAGCAGAATGGAGAGGAATCTGGGGTCACAGGGGTCTGTTTGTTTAACACACAGCATTAGGGCAGATTTGTAAGCGGGTGCTGGCCAGGAATCACTTCAGACCCAGGACTTCTCAGCCCAAGTTTACTCACTGACAACTTTAATCTTTAAAATTAACAGGATTTTCGCCATCTATCTCCTAAAACAGGTATACTTCACAGAACATAACCCCAATTAACGTTTTCCTGGAAGAAACCATATGTTTTTAATACCCAAACTGCATAGCAGCTATTCATCACTCAATGCATTTTTCAGGGGATATTTATATAAACTTTACATGCAGTTTTCAAAAAACACATTTTAAACTAAATGGTTTGCTAGAAAAGCTTCATGTTGCTTCTAAATACAATTGGCAGACCATCAATCATGCTAGTCACTTTGTGACACTTTGCAGTGTGGACAAGTTGGACAATATCTGACATTGCTGGCCTAAGAGAGGCCACTGCTACTGCACAAAGCAGTGGTGTGTTAACAACCATATTGACTGGTAGGAGACCAAGAAGCCATGTTTTAAACATTTTACATCCTAACACGTTATTTGCAACTTTCATCTAGGCGCCATACTGTGACTGAGGAAATTGGTGGGTTTTTCCAGGACTTGCTATGTCTTATAACTTTTGCTATTTAAAATAATGGGAAATAGGTTCTCCTTAGTTTTACCTCAGAGAAAGTCTGACATCTCAGGCACAAATTACAGACAGTTATTAACAGCAGATGACTTCCCAGTCTTGTTTTAGTTTTAAAGATTTAATTACCTTGGAAATTACTTAACTTCATTTCTTCTAAATCTTGTTGTAAAACTTATGCTCCAGAAAGTTGTACCACAGATACTCTGCTGTTTCGCATCCTCCCTGCATAGAAATGGGGCTGCCAATACTCATTTGACAAGTAGGTAGTAATGTAGAACTTGGAATTATCAGAGAAACTAAACAGGAGGATGACTTAAGAGAACTATCAGTGTAACCCCCGACAGCAACAAATTATTAAAAGTGGTTCCAAAGGAGCTGTACTGTAGGGCAGAAATGCTGAAATTGTGAATTCCCTTCCTACACAAACTTCCCTCACATTTGGGAAAGACCACTGGGAAATTCTGGTCCTGTTGCCTGTGTTCATTAGGCCAAGACACCACACTGGGATAGGGAAACCCAGTGAACCAACCGTGTGGGGCCTCAGAGAAGGGGCCTGGGAGTCACTTACCTGTGCGCCTGAGTTCCCTGTCTGTATAATGCAAGAATGGGGGCTGTTCACTGTGATGTTTTCTTCTTTTTATAACATGGCTTGGGGCAGTCCTTCTAAGAGGCCTGACCAATGTATGGGCCCTTCAGCTGGGCAGGGTCCAAGGGGCACTTTGTAGTGAGCCTGACCATGGGGTCCAGAGGGAGAATCATGGCAGCCCAGAGGGATGGAGGGGTTGCCAAGAAAGGTGGCTTTGAGAAAGCAAGTTCCAGGTTTCCAGGTACCTGGTATTTTCCATTTTAACCAGCAAACTTCTGGTTTCAAATACCAGCCAAAGAGCTTCTGTTGGGGCTCCGAGCAGCCTCAGCAATGGCCAGGCCACTCAGCTGCACGTCCACCTGAGTGCTGGCCTCAACATGCTGTGGCAGCATTGCGCATGCCCGTGGGGGCACGTGGTGGAGAGTGGGAGTGGTGGAGGGGAGGGCAAGGAGGGGCAGGGGCATGGTGGGGAGAGGTGCGAGGCAGGCATGCTGCCCTTGTGGAGGACCGGTTGTATCCATGGCCACTCATGCAAGCTTCGAGAGGTGCCACAGCACTCGCAGGTCTGAGGGAAGTCCAGTTTCTCAAGGAGTAGGGAGTTTGGGGAGATGCACACTCCACTGAGCATGCTGGGACCACCCTCTGAGTGTGGAGAGGAGGGGCGGGGCAGGAGGCGGGGTGCCTCGCTGCATATGCAGGGACTGCAGGACTACATCTCCCAGGATGTGCTGGGCTCTGGGCGGCTCAGCCCTCGGAGGGTGGGGCAGAGTGGTGGGGGCCTGGCCGAGGTCCAAAGCCCCCGACTGTTGACCCTGGTGTTGCAGCCCTCCCACGTGGACTGACTCACTGAGAGAGATGTGAGGGGAGGACCCGAACTAGAGAGTCAGCCGGGTGTGACGGCTGCAATGTGCAGTGGCTGGCCTGCCACAGGCAGTTTGCTTTTGCCCTGAATCAAGTGTGAACTCCAGCCTCCTCCCCCATCACTCCACTGCTTCCCTCCGAAGTTTGATTCCTCCTCCCACCAGTGTGCCTGTGGATCTTTCTGCAGCGCCACGCCTAGTCCAGGCGCAGGAAGCTGCTTGCTTCTCTAAACTGCTTGTGAAAAGTAGTTTGACATCCCAAGAACTTTCAGCTTTGCCTGCTGTCCTCTGCTTCCTCTAGCTGAAGTGGGCTATTTCAGCAGCTTTGGGGAGAAATTCGCCCTTGTGGCCCTGAACAGCTTAAGAGTTTACAGGAGTGGTCACATTGGCTGTTGCTTCCTGAAAATGTCACCTTCAGGGGTGCCTTTTTCACAGATGTGAGAGTTGAGGAATTGGTGAGGCTAACCATTGGTTTCCCCAGGATCTGCTGAGAGTAGAGGAGAACAACCCCAATTCCCAGTCAAGTGTCTAGTGGGCCATTTTCACCAACCTATTCTAATGCAAAGGCCTCCGAAAACAACTCAACCTTAGGAAGATTTACACTTTACATTGATGAGCTTAATCTCAACTCAGACCTGACTGGCCAGTTTCTTAGAGACACAAGTGGTGACCCTGATCCCTCAGGAACAGACAGTGTTAGAGCTTTGGGAGAGCCTTGTTCAAGGTGTGGAGCACCTGGGCAGCCTTTGAAACCTGTCAGGTTGAACATCTCTGCTTTGGAGGAAAGTTCATCACAGACAGCAGTCAGCAATGTGGACCTTAACTTGCCTGGTCTGATCTGTTGAAGTATTCTGTCTGGAAATGGAAATATTCAGGAGCACTTCTGCTTCTACTTATCTTCTTAATAATTGATGTCCCTAACTTCATTATGCCCTAAGGGAGAGTTCCTTTGATTGCAGTGTGGTACCAAAATAAACACATCTATGGATATTCAATTGTACCATATATCCTTAAAAAGTAATTAGAATAGTGAAAGGAACAGGACATAAGATATACTGCTCATTTGCAAAGATAAAAGGTAAGCAAGACCTTCTCATTGAAATTTTTTTGCTCATTCTCTTCCCTGTACTGTGCATTTGAATGCAAAAACAAAAAAAACTTGAATTGTCAAATTTCTCTTTTTCCTGAGATTGGTAAGTTAATGAAAGAGATTTAAGTGACTTGTTGAAACCTGTGGAGGAATAGTTAGCAGCTGTCATGATTTATCTTGTGTTTAAAAACCTAGGTGTTGATCTACGTGAAAATAAGACCTTTTTTATATTACACATTCTAAGAGCTTGCATTTCTGATTCCTGAGTGTAGGAAGGGACTGAGAAACCTGGTCCCGGAAGCTGGACCCTATTACTTTGTCAAGAATTTCCCTCTTCATGAACTAATTATGCACAAATTCATCACACCTTTGTAAAGAAAGGAAGAAAAAAATGTGTGATGTCTATGAACGTGGCAAGATGAGGTAGTTAGACCACATCACAGTCCTAGGGTTCTTCTCTTGTGTTAAATAGGGCTTGGGTGATAGTCTGTGTGGTCAAGTGCAGCTCCCCACCCCTCAGTGTTCTGATCCTCCTCTATCTTGTGCCCACTTTAGGGGGATTTGGATTATACTTGTCCACAAGTGTTGGATGGGGCTGTTGTAACATGAGGGTATCTGTCATCCTAAGACAATTGATAGAGAGGGAGGTCTTAGATTCTGTGCAATCACATACACTACTGTTGGGTGTGTGGCAGCAGTGACCGCTGTGCTCCCAGCAGGCCCCACAATGGCTGTCTCAAAAGGTTGGTCTCCTGGTACAACCACAGCAGCTGTTCACAGAGCCAGGTGGTCATGGTTCTGTGTCTTCTGTTAGATTTTGTGGCCTCTGCTCACCCCATTCCCATTCCTATCTACTGGGTTGATTGCTTTGTTCCAGTCACCATGGTTTCCTAGGAGCTGTTTGTGTATAACTGTGTTTTGCTGTGTCTTTAGGGATTCCGCCCTCACTACACAAGTTACTGTACAACAGGCTCTTCCTGATCTTGTTGTAGCTCCAGGCTCATCCTCTCCAGTGGAGCTGTGAAGAACCCTAGGTACTTGCAGCTCCTCCCATTCTCATGCTGCTGGGGCTGCTTACAAAGCTGGGCATCTCATCTTTGGTCTCATTGATATTATTCTTTTCATTGATTTTGAAGTCTGATACTACATTGTTAATAACATGGACACTGGCTGTCTCGGGCACTTTTACATGTCTTACCCTGTGAAGTGAAGTAGTCCTGTGATCCCCATTTTACAGGGGAGGAAACTGAGGCTCAGAGAAGTTGAGTAGCTTTCTTAACTTTGCACAAGTTCTTGGCATATTTTGAATCTCCACCTGGAACTCTGCCTCTTGGGTGTGTGCACTTACCTAGTGTTCGACTTTATGGCTCTCTGCCAGCATCCCCAGAGGCACACGCCCTGACCTGAGCCCATTTTCTGCTTGATGATAATCACCCTGCACAAACAGGCCCTGGGCAGGGGAGTGGACTAGTAGAGTGTGGGCTTCCACATCCTCTCGCTTACTCTCAGATGGTTTTAGGTTTATTGACTGAGCTAGAGCAGTGGTAGATACTGACCATTTCTCAGCTGGAAAGTTTGCTAGGTAAAAATATTCCACTAACTTTTTGCAAGTGTCATTTCTTCTTTGTCTGCATTTCTCCTTCTGGGCTGTCTCCTACAGATCCATCCTGTGCACTAACATGCAGTATAGATACCGATGAGAGAATACTGTGCCCTGCTGCCAAATGGCAACAACACTCATTATTTTTTCTTTCTCTAATTATAAAAGAAATACATACTGTAAAAAAACAGTCAAGTTACGGGGCCGGCCTGGTGGCACAGCGGTTAAGTTCACGCGCTCTGCTTCTGCAGCCTAGGGTTCACAGGTTCAGATCCCAGGCGTGCACTGACCCACTGCTCATCAAGTCATGCTGTGGTGGGGTCCCATATAAAGTAGAGGAAGATGGGCACAGATGTTAGCCCAGGGCCAGCCTTCCTTGGCAAAAAGAGGAGAATTGGCATCAGATGTTAGCTCAGGGCTGCTCTTCCTCACACACACACAAAAAAAGTCAAGTTATTCAGATCTACATAGAGTAAAGTGAAAGTCTCCCCTTTCATCTCCTTCCCTCTGGACTCACTCCCCTTCTTAGAAGGAGCTATTGTTAACAGGTTGGAGTTTATTCTTCTGGACATTTTCTATGAATTACTATATACACATAAACTGTCTTCATAATGTAAATTTCATCACACAATTGTTTTGCAATTTGCTATTTCCCATACTATACACCATGGATGTCTTGCTATATCAGTGCACATAATTCTAACTTGATATTTTCAATGTCTTAAAGGTATATCAAAGAATGGGCATACCATGGTTTAACTATTCCTTCTTGGATAGACTCTGAGACTATTTCTAGTTTCACTGTTATAAACAATGCTGCCATAAGGTCTGTGTACAGAATTTGTTCCACTGATATTTGCTCAGTCTGCCTTGCTTTCTTTTAGCCAGAAAGCAGATCATATTTTTAAGGTTTCTTGAATGAGACTTATTCTTTGTTTTGTAGGGAAATTGATTTTATCACTAGAAGACACTCACGTAGAAACTAGACTTCACGGTTATCCATCTCAGTATTCTGGCAGAAAAACCATGAAACTTAGTAGGCGTTATGTTTGCTCCATCACTTTCTAACAAGTCACTAATCTTCCCATAGCAATTTACATTCAAATGTTTGAATTGCCTCTACTCTCTTTGTTCATTTTATATAAAATATACCCAGAAGGCCAAGCTCTACTAATAGTATAATTAGGGATAAATGAGATTTTGTGATGCAAAATTACCTGCAAATGTAAACTCAGTTTCTGTCAGTTAGGGAACCGGGAGGTGAGTTGAGCTGGGAGGCTGTGGTTCAGGGTCTCTCCTGAGGTAACAGTTGAGATGTCAGCTGGGCCTGCAGTCATCTGAAGACGTGACTGGGACTGGAGGAACTGCTTCCAAGGAGGCTCCCTCACATGGCCATTAGCTAGAGGCCTCAGTCCTTTGTCATGTGGACTCCCC